GGATATCCACGCGCTGGATTACTACGCGTTAGATTACCACGCATTAGATTCCTACGCTTAGAATTATCACGCGCTGCATTATTACGCGTTGTATTACTACACGTTGAATATGCACGCGCTAGATTACTACGCGTCGAATATCCACACGCTGCATTACTACGCGTTGGATTACTACGCGTAGGATTACCACGCGTTGCATTACTACGCATTGGATTACCACGCGTTGGATAACTACGCGTTATCCGAAGTTGCCGCTCTCGCTTCTGCGCATGCGTAATCCTCTGATTGGTCCGTGTTTTTCCTTAATAATTCAAAAACGAAGCTTCAAACCCCATTTTTGCAAAGGGAAATCTTATTCAGAATCACGTCAGCTACCCCCCATTTCTGGGACCTACACTAATCGTGAGACACCCTGTATATAAAACTATCCACAAATATATCAGACTATACGAATAAAAATATAAATCAATCATTCCGAAATCGAAAATTTAATCAGGCGGATAATCGCTAATTCCGACGGTTCGTCTTTCTGTCTGAAACGAAACGGAAATCCACGTCGAAATCCATTCGTGTCGCAACAAAATATCGAAACGGAAACGAAACCTTATTCCCTTTACACGGAAGAGAATACAGCATCCAGTTTGCGAGGCAATCGGCGTGTTCCCTTTTTCCTCGGCTTGGAAAAATAAACAGCAACGCATAAGAGGTAGAAAAAACGCGAGCAAAAGTAATGAAAGACATCGGAGAAGCTTTTCTCGGCAATCTCCTTTGCTCGACGACTTTTTGCAAATTATATAGCTACCGGTAAACACTGATTTTTCACGGTGACTACTATGCTTCTCCCGTGCCAATTAACCTGATTTAATGAACGAATTTCAAGCGGCATTTTTAATTCGCTTTCAAAGCCAAAGGTAAACTAGATTCTTTACGAGTCAGAAGTTTGTCAATGAAAATTTATTGAAACGATCGTCTTTCGATGTGTCTTGGTTTTTGAGAGGATCTTGGAAGAAATTTGTACTTTAGGGGAATTAAGTCCTGCTGCATTATATTGCTGTCGAGTAGAGGGTGTTGAGCTGGAGAGCTGTTGACCTGTGTCGAATTTAAATACGCTCGATTTGTGTCGAATTAAAATCGGATTCAATTGTAATGTCACGAATTTCATTTGAAAATTTTTTACTGTGTTTTGTAATTTATTGTTTTACTGTTTATGAAGTGTTTTGAGATTTGTTATTTGACAATTTTTAGTCTGTCATGTCTGTAGATTTATTATTTCAAAGTTTTTGGACTGAGATGTACTGTAATTTATTGTTTGACCATTTCGAAACTGCCATATATTCAGATTTATTACTTGAACACCGCAGAACTACTGTATTTTTGGATATACTCAAATTTTTCAAATTTCCATATATTTAGGTTTGTTACTTGAACATTGCTAAATCACTACATTTTTGGATTTATTACTTCAAATTTTTCAGGCTGCTATATATTTAGATTCATTATTTGAACACTGAACCACTACATTTTTAGATTTATTCTTTGAAATTTTTCAACCTGCCATATATTTAGATTTATTATTTGAACATTTCTGAATCACTACGTTTTTAGATTTAACCTGTGAGTTTTTTCAACCTGCCATATATTTAGATTTATTATTTGAACATTCGTGACCTACTACATTTTTGGATTTGTTACTGGAAATTTTTCAAACGGTCATATACTTAGACTTATTACTTAAATGTTCATGAACTACCACATTTTTGGATTTGTTACTTAAAATTTATCAAACTGCCATATATTTGAAATTGAATTCTTTTGCATTTAATTGAATCGTGTTGAACTTCATCCCGTCGAATTAAAATTGAAAATTCTGTGTCGAATTGAATATTGTAAAATCGAATCACACCGAATTGAAATTCCAGTAGTTTAATCGTTTCGGATCGAATTACAGCAAATTGAACCTCGTCGAAGTGTTAAATCGAATCGTGTTGAATGGAAATACGTTGATTTGAATTGCAGCAAATTGAGTCGTATGTCGAATTGCTTCAGACATCAAATCGAATTATATCAAATAGAAATACTGTTACATCAAATTTTATCGAATTAAAAATTCTTCAATCGAATAATACCGAATATAACATCAACAATTACAATTTTTCCAAATAGATATAAAATACTCCGTTAAAAAGATACTAAATCGCATGAAATTGCATTGAAGAAGAAATCGAAATGGCACCATAAATTTTATCGAATAAAATTGTATCAAATTGAATCGAAACGAATTTAAAAGTCTCTAATAGAACAGTGTCAAATATACCTCCGTCGAATTGCGGCAAATTGAATCTCATCGACGTAAAATGCGCCGCTATAAAATACACCGACTAGAAATACACTGCGCGGAATAAAATTGAATGAAATTGAACCGAGAATTAAAAAGTCTAATCGAACAACGCCAAATATAGCTCCATCAAGCTGCACCAAATAGAATCTCCGTGCATCAATATAAAATCGGTCGGAATTGAAATACAGGGAACGGAATTACATCGAATTGCAGGGTAAAAGAGGTTGACGATATTTTTATTCCTGGGACGTTAAACGAATAAATACATAATAATGCGCCGTAGCGAGCGTTAGTTTTACGATAGCGAAATGTGTATACGAAGGTAAAAGCCTCGTCACGGGAATTTTGATTTCATTCATGCGAATCACGAACGCGTCAGAAAATGTCGCGACGATCTGAAACACCATTAACGTAATGTAGTTAACCGTGTTTCCCATTATCCTGGCCGGTCCGATTCGTTCACGTGGAAAACCAACGATGTTTTCTGCGTTTCGTTCGTTCGCATTCACGGCACGGCCGCCCGTTCAGAGTAAACTTCGGTTACCCGTCGCCAAACTGCTGATATTTTGAATTTAGATACAATCGATAATTTGTATCATTGGCGGACGTCCAACGGGCATAATTTATGGCATGGCCGTGACTCGAAACGAAACCGGTTACCCGTTGTTTAATCAAATTATTGATTTATTTACATTGCCGCCGTTAACGCGCGATTAACGCCAACCTTTCGCTAATTTTACTACCCAAAATTTAACATATTCGATATTTTCATCATTTAACTTTATCCACCCTTGTATACTTTATTACATGTTTTACATTTTCATTTTAGGTCTGAGGTTTCACGTTTCAGGTCCTAATTTCACATTTTAAGGTCTTAGGTTTCGCATTTATATTTCAGGTATCAGATTTCTGGTACCAGTAGTCTTAATGAGGTAATCGAAGTTTTGCGTTTCTTACTTTGTACCAGGTAGTTGGAAAAATAGGAAAGACAGGAAAGGAATTATTGTCTCTTTGCAATAAGTGTGAGTATTTAGGGATGTCGATATCTAAGGATACTTCCAGTTTGGGATGTGGTCATCTAGGGATACTGCAAGCTTGAGTTGTGGATATTTAGGGACACTTCAAGCTTGGGATGTGGACATGTGGGGATACTCCAAGCTTGGGATGTGGACATGTGGGGATACTTCAAACTTGGTATGTGGACATGTGAGGATACTTCAAGCTTGGGATGTGGACATGTGGAGATACTTCAAACTTCGGATGTGAATATGTGGTGATACTTCAAGCTTGGGATTTGGATATGTGGAGATACTTCAAGCTTGGTATGTGAACATGTGGGGATACTCCAAGCTTGGGATGTGAACATGTGGGGATACTTCAAGCTTTGTATGTGGACATGTGGGTATACTTCAAGCTTCGGATGTGGACATGTGGAAATACTATAAGATTGATATGTGGACATGTGGAGTTACTTCAAGCTTGGGATGTGGACATGTGGAGATACTTCAAGCTTGGGATA